TGCCTACGTACTCCCCTCCTCCTCCTCCTCCTCCTCCTCCTCCTCCTCCTCCTCCTCCTTCTCCTACCTCCTCCCTCCGTATCTCTGACAGCTAGAGGTGCCTTCGGTGCAGGCCAAAGAGGCTTGCGACACCTCCGCGGTCGCGCGACCCGGGGCGTTGCTTCCGGAGCGACCCCGACGAGATGCCACCGGCGCCGGCCCCGCGACTGGCCCCGACCCGTGGCGGCGGCGCTCTGCCGCCTGGGCAGTGCCGCCCGGCGCAGCAGGCCGGTCCGTGGCGCCGCTGTCGCGCGCTTCGACTTCGTGCTCCCCTCCCAGACCTCCTCGCGTTGTGAAAAAATTACGACGGGAGGTTGGGGGCCCTCGCCAGGCCTCGGGGCCGTGAAAAAACGACTCGGGATGAAGAACTGGTCCTCGGGGGGTCGACGTTATGAAAAAAATCCGCCGTCGGGGGTCTGGGCCTTCGGCATGGCGCTGGCGCTGCGCCCACGGCCTGCTGCTGGCGATGCCCTTCGGCCTGCCGATCGGCCACCTGTTGGCGAGATGCTCCTCGGCCAAGTGACGACGATGCCGCTGGGCGTGATGAGCTCGTCATGCCGGACCTCCTCTGCAAGCAGGGGCAGGCGGCGGCCTCAGTACCGTGGGCCAGTCCACAAGAAACCTCCCACAAGAAGCCCAACCCTGACACCCCAGGACGCCCACTGATTTGATGGTGTGGGAGCGTCGCGCGCTCTCCACAGCAGAACCATCGAAACCCAAGAAACCCAGGGCACCCTGGAGGCAAGCAGGGTGTTTCTTGGCATGGGTTTCCACTGCAGGGGGCTGCGCCGAGCTCTCAGGCAGCCAGGTCTCAGCAAGCATTGCGAGGATTTGGTTCTGCATCTTGGAAAATGAAAACTCATCGTTTCCGAATGCGCGCGCCACGACGACGCGGGCGCGCGCGGGCACGCGGGCGAAGCCACGCGCGTCGCCGCGTGGAACACCTGCATGGCGCGCGCCCCCAATCGCGCACACGCGCGCCACTCGCGCACGCGCGCGCCACCTTGGAGAGCTCCGCTCTCCAAGGGGCGAGGGGGGCGGCCTCTCTGCGCCGCAGGGCACGCAGGGCAGCCGGCCTTCCCGCCCGCGGCGGCAGGCGCAGCGATAGCCGCCCAGAGGCGCCATGGAGAGACAGTCGGCCCCACCACCACCCACCCAGACCCCCTGGCGCTGTGACAGAAATCACGACGGGAGCTTTCTCGCTCTTGTCTCTCGGGGGCGGCCAAGAGGGGGTCGGCCAGGAGGGGGGAGCGCAACTCCTGGCCGGCGGCACGTGCGCGGCCAAAGGGAGGGCCGGGGACGTAATGAAATGAGAAGAGGCGCCATGAAATCTGGGAAGATATCATGGCCCCCCCCATGATGTCCACCCTCCCCCTAGTCGTCACCCCCCTCTTTGCCGCCCCAAAGTTTCGGCCTCATGGGGGCCCTTGCTGGGCCTCGGGAGCGTCAGGAAACGACTCGGGATGAAAAGCCGTTCCCGGGGAAGGGGTCCAGACATTTGGGGATCGACGTTGTGAAAAACTCACGACGTCGGCAGTCTGGGCATGCGGCGGCGATCTGCGGGACGCTGGGCCGGACGCGCCACGGCCGCCTCTCGGAGGCGAGCTTCGCGGCGCCACGGGACGCCGGGCTCGCCCACGTCGGACCGCTGTGGCCGCTGCTCAGCGCAACCTCAAGACATCGGCTTCGACGCTGTTCTCGATGGCGTCTTCGTGCAGGCGCCGAGGGACGTGGCCGACTGCGACTACGACCTCGCGCCAATCTTCCCAGACCGCCGACGTCGTGATTTTTTCAAAACATCGACCCCCAGATGAGGTCTGGACCCCTTCCCCAGGACCAATTTTGCATCCCGAATCATTTCTTGACGCTCCCGAGAGCCCAGAAAGGTCCCCCGGAAGCCGAAAATAAGGAAAAAACCTCCCGTCGCGATTGTTTCACAACGCGAGGGGGTCTGGGGACCGCTGTGGCCGCTGCTCAGCGCGAATTCGTGCAGGCGCCGAGCGACGTGGCCGACTGCGACTACGACCTCGCGCCAATCTTCCCAGACCGCCGACGTCGTGATTTTTTCACAACGTCGACCCCCAGATGAGGTCTGGACCCCTTCCCCAGGACCAATTTTGCATCCCGAATCATTTCTTGACGCTCCCGAGAGCCCAGAAAGGTCCCCCGGAAGCCGAAAATAGGGAAAAACCTCCCGTCGCGATTGTTTCACAACGCGAGGGGGTCTGGGGACCGCTGTGGCCGCTGCTCATCGCGACCTCAACGATATCGGCTTCGACGCTGTCTCGATGGCGTCTTCGTGCAGGCGCCGAGGGACGTGGCCGACTACGGCGGCTACGACCTCGTGCCTATTTCCCCAGACCGCCGACGTCGTGATTTGTTGACAACGTCGACCCCCAGATGAGGCCTGGACCCCTTCCCCGGGACCGGTGTTGCATCCCGCATCGTTTTTTAACGCCCCCGAGGCCCGAACAGGGCCCCTGGAGGCCGAAAACAGCGAAAGACCTAGTTTTTCTTTTTGTCACTTAGCGCGAGGGGGCCTGAGGAGGGACGTGGCCGACTACGTCTACGACCTACCCTGGGCGCCGCGGCGGGCCCCCAGCCGAGGAGGCCATCCATCCTGGGCGCCCCGGAGATGCCCGTCGTCTCCGCCGAGGCCGACGCCAAGGCGGCCCGCGAGGAGGAGACGAGCAGGGCGGATCATCAGCGCCGTCCTCCCTCCTCCCCCTCCTCCTCCTCCTCATCCTGCCTCCTCCTCCTTCTCCTCCTCCTGCCTCCTCCTCCTTCTCCTCCTCCTCCTCCTCCTCCTCCTGCTCCTCCTGCTCCTCCTGCTCCTCCCTCCTCCCTCCTCCTCTCTCCTCCCTCCTCGCGTTGCAACAAAACTCACGACGGGAGGTCCTTCGCTATGTTCGGCCCCCGGGCGCCCTTCTACTGGGCCTCGGGACCGCCAACAAAACCGCCCAGGACGAAAAAGCGGCCCCAGGGACCCCTCCCCTCCTTTCTCCTCTTCCTCGGGGGGGGGGGGTTCTTGGAAGTCGTCGTCTTTGATACGCTACCTTTGGCTTGTTTCCAGCTCGATGGCTTCCCATAGCCATAACCACCCGAGGGGTGGTACACTGCGCTCCACTGGGTTTGGGGCGCCGTTAGGGGTGAGGCTGCCTACTGGAAGTTTATCCTCCTCCATCCGGCGCTGGCGCAGTGAGCAGCGAGCGAATCAGCATTCCTGCAGGCTGAAAGTCCTCGCCGAGGGTAGACGCTGTCCGCGGCGCTGCTCTTCCCCCTCTTCTGGCCGAAGGGCTGACGCAGAAGGAGCGCCAAGGCGGACCCTGGTGCTCGGCGAGAGAGTGCAGCCATCGGCATGCGCGACTGCGTTGAAGCCTGCGCCCACCACCGCCTCCTCCCCCTCCGCGCGGCCCTAGGGCGTCCCGAGTCTGAGGGGGGCCCCGGGGCACTGAGCACACCGCCGCGCGCCCCGGCCTTCAGCTGCCGCCGCCGCCTCCTCCTCCTCCTCCTTTTCCTTTTCCTTTTGCTCCTCCCTCTCCTCCTCCTACCCCTCCACTTCATCCCCTTCCACTTCCACATCCTCATATTCCGCTCCCTTGGCTGCCCCGAGATACCCTCCAGCCCCCCCCCCCCCCAAGTTGGCGGCGCGAAGGGGGGAGGGGGCCTCACAGAGAGTGGATGCATACGTTGAGCACTCCTGCCACAGAAGAGCTGGGGGCACACTGCCCAGTCGGCACCTCGGACCTCGCAAAAAGCCCCCCCCCAGGACTCCAGCGGTGGTCCGTGGACATCGGGTGACGAGAGAGACCTTTCCGTGGGGCCCCTGCTGGTGGGTGACCTTCTTACTTGATGGGCCTACTGCAGACCCAAGCCCCCGACGTCGTGCTTTTTTCGCAACGTCGACCCCCAGAGGCCTGGACCACTTTCCCGGGACCGACTTTTCGTCCAGCGTTGTTTTTTGACGCTCCCGAGGCCCGGCGAGGGCCCCCAGAAGCCGAAAACGGCCGAAAACCGCCCGTCCCGATTGTTTTCACGACGCGATCATGTCTGGGACTGCAAGTGGGGGGCTTCCAAGAAGGCAGCGGGCTTCTCACAGGCCCTCGCGGCCTCCAGGAAGGCCTCTTTGGCGAGCCCCTGGGCTGGGCCCTGCCGCGTAAACAGGCGCCCCCACCTTCCAAGAGGCCCCAGGCCTTCTCAGAAGGCCGCCCCCCTCCGCCCAAGCGAGGCGTAGATTCTCAGAGTGAAAGACCGATGTGCTCCGAAAGGCTTTGGAAATGAACTGCAAGCCGCCCCGAACCCAGACACACGGCGCCTCCACAGAGTCGATGCGGTCGGCCTATTGTCGCCATACTTGACCTCCACAGGCCTGCTTTGGGCCTTGGGGCCACCAAGAAACGACGACTACTCAGGGTGAAAACACTTGTCCTGGGGGAGGTGATCGAGAGGTTGGGGGGGCACGCATCCAAAGAATCCAAGCGCCAGATGTCTGGAAACGTGTTCGCAATGGCGAACACGCGTGGCAGCGCAAGGAGGCCATGAAGCTTGCCTTGCTAGTGCAAGCTTGCTCCCGAAGGTTCCCTGCCAGTCCATGTTCCTGCAAGCGGAGGGCGCCACCTCGTAAGACGAGCGGCTCAATCCCATATGAGGTCAACTCCATGGCGCCACAACGGCACACTACTAGTGTACGGCCAGACCTAGGACAGAAGAGCATCCTTTAAGAACATGGGACCCTCCGCCAGCCAAACCGCAGAACATTCGAGGGCACCCTCCCCCAGGATGCACACATCGAACAAGCACGAAGAGCATCAGGGTACCCTCCCCGAAACGACCTCGATATCATACATGAGCATCCTTTTATCAACGCCGACGTCTGCCGGCCTTCCGCCGAAGGCGATACTCGCCGAAGGCGCGACCATTCTGGAGCGCGGCATGCAAGCTTCAGAAGAACAGGGGGGCACCTTTTCGCCCTCCATCTTGACGCTCATCACCTTCAAGTAGTGCTCCGGCGCCTTGGAGCAACTTCCCGCACCCCCACCAGAGCAACCTCTAGCTGCAACGTCGCAGGCTCCTCTGAAACAGAGACAAGGGACCGAATTGCTCACGAGGGCGCTTCTGAACAGGCAGACCAAGAAAACGCTGACACGAAGTTACAGGACTACCGACGCAACGGAAGGTCATTGGCTGTTGCAATTTCTCATCAAATAGCGGCGAACACAAGCACTGTCACTGCACATCCTGCATCTTTCATCCTCCCCCCTCCCCCACCTCCACCTTCTCCCTCCGCTCATCCGTCTCTACCGCTCCTCCTCATCCGTGCCCTTCTCCTCATCCCCCCCATCCTCGGCCTCCTCCGCCTCTTACTTATCATCCTCGAAATCATCCTTCCGTCCCAACGGCTGCGGGGGGGCCTCATGGAAGTGTTCAACGGTAAATGTTCTGCCGTCGACAGGCATGATGTGCGACAAGATGTCGTCTGAAATCTGCGCGTTCTTCAGCCTGAGACGGTGGTAGGCAAAGGGTGGAGCACGTAGTCTCTTGTGAGATAGACTGATAAGCTCTCCCAGCGATGATGCTCAGACCTCAGAGCCAGAACGCACCTCTGACCCACTGGCGCGGCCTCCCCGAAACGAGATGACCCGACGGCCCAACACCTCTCTCGACTTGGGCGGGGCCCCTGCTGCTGACGTGGGTGTGCAAGAGACACCTTTTTGGGGGGGCGCGCAAACACGGATTAGCGATCCATGGCTTTGGCGCGCGGTCGCCAAATCCATGGAACGGGGGAGGTGCCCTCCCTAAAATGCGGCCGGTGCTGCCTCGCTCAGCGGCGGAAATCTGTGATTTACTATGGAAACGGAACCCGTCGCTAATCCACGCCCCCTTGATCCACGCTTGCGATCGCGTAGTTTTGTGGACAAGTCAAGCAATCCCCACCTCCGCCAGGGCAACCTTGGCTCCAGTGGTCGGCCTGCCGTTCCTGCGTGGGGATGGGCGCCGTCGCCTTCGGAACTCGCGGCGCCGAGCCCCACCCAGAGGGGGTTCGCTGGGAAAGCTAGCTGGCACTGTCCTGGTGAGGGTGTGGATGCTTACGACGATGATGGACATTCGATTGCTCCATCTCTGCCCAGGCTATGGTGAGAGGGAACGAAAAAAGGGAATATTGAGCTGGAATCGGCGATACATCCCCGATAGATCGGCGATGGGCCCCCGATCGCGGAATCGCACACTCCTAGACAGCGTGGGCTGATTATCAGGCCCCTATCGGCGATGTATGGGTGACTGGGGGCCGATGCATCCCCCCCCTGACGTCACCCGTCAACGCGCCCTCTGCCCGAACAAATCTTCGGGACAGCTCGACTCCGGCGCCGGCCGCCGCTGCCGCACCTCTCCCATGCGCCCCGGTGGAAGCTGAGCCTGCGCTAGAACGCTGAATTGAACGAGTCGTCGTCCTCCTCCTCCTCCTCCTCCTCCTCCTCCTCCTCCTCCTCCTCCATCGCCTCCGCCTCCGCTCTGTCATTGCATATTGCGGGGGCCCCGTCCTAACCACAACCTCCGCAACATGTGGCCGACTCTGGAACCCCTGAAGGCACAGGCGCTAATGTCTGTTGGGATTTGCAGCCATCGCTTGCATCAGTTTCCACAGGTCTGCCGCCGACAAGGCTGCGGTTGCCCTACTCCTGCAGGCCTTCCGACCAGCTTCTGCTGAACGGGGAAATCAACCCCTCACAAACTCGAGGGAACAATTTTCAGAACGACTCTTGTGGCCCAACTCGGATGTCCCATGGGGGCCGACAGCAACCTCAACGGCGCTGGCTTTGTCCTGCGCAGATGCGCCAAGTTCCCACCAGGTTCCACCAGCGAAACCACTTTCGATGGACCACCAAATTTCACAATGTCCCCAAGGGAGGCAACCAATCCGGAGACCAATTTCGCATTCAAAGGCAAGCGCGAGAACACTCACAACTCACATCCACGTCGAACGCGCACTCACATGTATAGGGCAAGCCACTCACGGTGACGTATGGGGGGCGCAAAAAATACGCAACGCAAGGTGTCCAATCTCATTGCGAAGCCACCTGCTCTACTGACACAGGCCCCAATGCGTGTCAGGCAAATACCGAATCACAGTCGCGCGCCTGGTCAGCCAGAAAATTAGCTAGCATGCTGCATGCTGGGTGCACCACAAGTCAGAATCAGAGGGTGAAACGACGAGGCTATTCCAAACATGTGGGTAGTTACCTCGAAAGAGTACTCCTCACACTAGAGGAAGTGGGGCGGGCGAGCGACGCTCACTCACCCAAGAAAAGGTGCAACCAGGTGGAGCGGCGGGGCCCTGGGCTACGCATTAGGCTGAAGCTGCGTCGGGATCGAGGCTTTTCATTCGCCGCTCGCGAGCATGCCACTCTGCGCCTGCGGTTCATCCCGGATGGTTCATTGCCGGCGGCACCCATCATGGAAGTGAGCGATTCAGAACTATTGGGGCGGCGATTAGAAATAATCTCGCCGGCCTGGAGTCCCCATATTAGCGGGTCAACGAGCTCGGCCCATGGGGGGCAGACAATCCGGGTTGGCCCCCGGGCCGTCTGGGAAGCCAGGGGAGGCCCGAGGGCTGACAATTCAGAGCGGCGGGGGTGGCTATTCGGACTGGTCGAAGGCACCCCGTGCCCCCTGGCGCCCAGCGCGGGCGTCCTGCAGTCCTGGGGGGACGATGGCCGACGGGCGACGAAACGAAGACGACGGCGGACTGTGGATGGCATAGAGGGGTGGAGGTGCCGCGTGTGTGTCCGGCAGTCCCGTGGCGACGACGGACGACGACGATGGACTGCGAATGGCATATGGACGTGGGCTGCGCCGTCGGCGTCCTGCCGTCCCGAAGGACGAGACAACGACGGCGACAACGACGACGACGACGACGACGGCCCTTTGCGGATGGCTTGTGCTGTGTTGGGGGGGAGGGGGGCGGGAACGGGTGGGGCAAGGGAGAGGGGAAGGGGAAGGGGAAAGGGGGGTGGCGTAGGCGTCTCGCAACCCAGGGCGACAACGACGACGGCGAAGACGACGACGACGACAGTCCTTTGCGGATTGCATGTGGCCGTATGGGTGTGTGTGTGTGTGTGCGTGCATGCGTGTGTGCGTGCGTGTGTGTGTATGTGTGTGTGTGCGTGCGTGCGGGTGTGCGTGCGTGCGTGCGTGCGTGCGTGCGTGTGTGCGTGTGTGTGTGTGTGTGCGTGTGTGTGTGTGTGTGTGTGTGTGTTTGTGTGTGTGCGTGCGTGCGTGCGTGCGTGCGTGCATGCGTGTATGTGTGTATGCGTGTGCGTGCGTGCGTGCGTGCGTGTGTGTGCGTGAGTGAAGGGTGCGTGCGTGCGTGCGTGCGTGAGTGTGTGTGTTGTGTGTGAGCATGTGTGTGCTTATGTTTGAGTGTGTGAGTGTGTGCGTGTGTGTGGGTGTTGTGTGTGTGTGCGTGCGTGCGTGCGTGTGTGTGCATGTGTGTGCGCGTGTGTGTGCGTGTGTACGTGTGCGTGTGTGTGTGTGTGTGTGTGTGTGTGTGTGTGTGTGTGTGTGTGTGTGTGTGTGTGTGTGTGCTGTGCGTGCGTGCGGTGTGCGTGCTGCGCGTGTGCGTGCGTGCGTGCGTGCGTGTGTGTGGTGGGTGTTTGTGTGTGTGTGTGTGAGTGTGTGTGGTGTGTGCGTGCGTGCGTGCGTGCGTGCGTGCGTGCGTGCGTGCGTGCGTGCATGCATGCGTGTATGTGTGTATGCGTGTGAGTGCGTGCGTGCGTGCGTGCGTCCGTGTGTGTGTGTGTGTGCGTGTGTGCGCGTGTGTGTGTGTGTGTGAGCGTGCGTGCGTGCGTGTGTGCGTGCGTATGTGTTTGTGTGTGTACGTGCTGCGGCGTCGGCGTCGTGCAGTCCCAGGGGGCGACGACGACTACGACGGAGACGACGACGACGACGACGACGAGGACGACGACAACCCCTTGCGGATGGCATGAAGGGGGTGAGGGGGGGGGGGCGGTGTGTGCGTGTGTGCTGCGCGTGCGTCCTGCAGTCCTGGGGCGACGACGGACGACAACGATGACGACGACGATGATGACGACGACAGGATGACGACGACCGACGGGATGACGACGGCTAACGCGACGCCCCAAAAAATCTGGCGGGGGGGGGCGATTAAACACAGTTTCGCCCCCCAGAATGTGGTCGGCTGCCCTGCATAATACGAAGGCGATCCCCCGAGAAGGGGAGGAGTACTTTCTCAATCGCTCACCTACACTAGCTCGCCTGGAGAAGAGGTGACCAGTGAGCGACGAAAAGGAAGGGGCCTCACAGATACTGGCATAACGCCACTACAAAACTTACGCGGGCCGCCAATGTAGCACACCGCGTGGAGAAGAGGTTGCGCGCGACATTACGCGGGAACCTTGCGGGCGAATATTCACGCAGTCGACTCCGTGCTCTGTCGTCGCTCGTGCGATGGCAGAATCACCCTCTCAGTCGGGGCGGAAACCCGGAGACCCGCCGAGCTGATTTTTGTGATCCGCGGCCCCAGAGGTCCCGACCGCGTCTCCGCGGGTGTCGCCGTTTCGTCCGAGATCCATCTGTGTTACTCCTGGGGCCCGCAACCGCCCCCCGAGGGCCGAAATCCAAGACAGCGCCGGCCCAACAAACCAGACCGTCGGAGCTCACGACACGTGGCCTGACCACGCTGAGCCAGCACGCAGCGTGTCAGCGTGGACGTCTTGAGCACGGCGCATGATGCGGCTCAAAACGGCCGCACCAGGGCAGCTGAGACCCTCGACCTGCACCTTCTCCGCACCTCCGCGCGGCAGGCGCCGCGCTGCCGCGGCCGCGCTGCCGCGGCCGCGCTGCCGCGGCCGCAGAGGAGGCCCACCGCCGAGGCCGCACCGCGGCGGCACCCGCCGCGCGGAGGGCTGCGGAGAAGGTGCAGAGGCAGCGGGAGGGCCCGCGGCGGGGGGGCCGATGCCGAGGCCGCAGGGGGAGAGAGCGGGCCGCAGCCTGGCATACCTCTCCTTCACGGAGATCGGCGAGTCCATGGCGCCTCCAGCGGGGAGGCGTTCAGACTCCGGTTGCGAGCGTCTGTTTATTCGGCGTGTCGACATTGGGCGGAAGGGGGGGAGAGGGGCGGGGGTTCTGGCTCCGGACCTCTGCCTAGTGCGACTGTTTGCAGCAGTGCGTCCTATGGGGGAGAGGCTCCACCTGCTCGAAGCAGGCGCCAAAAGCAGCCAAGATCTACTCCAAGGGGGGGGGAGGGGGGGTCCGAGGGCCCGCGCCGATCGGCAAAACAATGAATAAAAAACGATCACGTTCGGGGGGACTCGGGTTGGCCCGACGGGGCCATCATTGGACTAGCGCGTTCCACTACTCGCAGAGGAACTGCTCGCATATGGCCTGGATACGCCGCGTCGAGTTTACGATCCATTACATCGAGGCGAACATGTGTGTGTGTTTGAGGGATGAAAAAACGACCCTACCCTGGTTTAAAGTGCGCGGTCTGTAAACCCCCTGGGAACCCCCAACGCCTAGAGCCGCCAGGACGCGGCACATCACGCAGGGTTTACCCTGTCAGCCCACAGGAGTTTCAGCGCACAGCGCCTCGTAAACCAGGGTAGGGGCGTTTTTGTTCTGCCCTTGATGTGTGTGTGTGTGTGATTCAGACGTTTGCGTGTAGGTACTTTGCGAGCAGTGGAACACGCTCGGTAAATCATGAACATGACGAGACCCAATCTGAAATTTGACGCGACCTCCCGCTGCAGACGTCCCGCGAAACATGGGCCGCCAGAAAACCCAGGACGCGCTCGTCAAAAAAAAACGCCGGCAAACCCGAGCTCCAGCGTAGTCGTAGAGGCCCCCTAGATGGGGTCCGAGTAGATGGGGTCGGAGAATCGAGCCGCATCGGCAATGCATCGGCGACGTCGGCGGGGCATCGGCGCCATCAGCGTGGAGAAAATCGCGCTCCACATCGAGCCGCATCGCCGATGCATCGGCGATGCGGCGCGATCCTCCAATCCCATCTACCCACACACCCCACACCCCCGACGTCGTGATTCTTTCACCACGTCGAGCCCAGAGGTCGGGATCCCTTCCCCAGGACCGGTTTTTCATCCTCGGTCGTTTTTTGACGGTCGCGAGGCTCGGGATAGGGCCCGCGGAGGCCGAAGATAGCGAAAAACCTCCCGTCGTGATTTTGGTCACAACGCGGGGGGGTCTGGCCACTCCGACCCCATCTGGGAGGCCTGGTACTCGAGTCTTACGTCTCCCCGCCTCGAGTTCGTGGGGGGCAGCGCGGCAGGAGGAGGAGGAGGAGGAGGAGGGGGAGGAGGAGGAGGAGGAGGAGGAGGAGGAGGAGGAGGAGGAGGAGGAGGAGGGGGAGGAGGAGGAGGAGGAGGAGGAGAAGGAGGAGGACACGGTCTGGCTCAGTGCGCCGGAACGCGGGTCTCTCGGTTGCAAATCATGGGAGCCTGTTATACCCTCTGAATTCTGTCTTTAGCGTCGACTCGCGTCGATTAGCGTCTGGAAGTCGATGAGATAGCGCCGATGTAGCGTCGGTTGACGTCGATTAGCGTCGATCTAGCGTCGATTTAGCGTCGATTCGCGTCGACTTGCTTCGATTAGCAGGAGCCGACAAGATGGTATGGAAGGCTCCCATGAGCTGACCTCGAAGGGTCTGCCGACCCTCTTTGACGAGCGCGGCCTTGCCGCCCCGCCCTCGGCGGCAAGCGGGCGGCAGGCGCAAGCGGAAGGCCGGCAGGGGGGTAACGCGCGGGCAGGTGCGCCGGCGGGAGGCCGCCTGCCGCCCAAACCCACCTGCGCTGCCGACGTCCTCCTCTTCCGAGCCTGTTTTTTTAGATTCCGGCAAGGTTGCTTGCATGCACGGCGGGGGGGGGGGGGGGCTGAGCCCGAAGCAAGCCACAAGCGACTTGCACGTTGGGGGGGGGGCTCGGCGCCTCGCAATTGCAAGGGCGTTTCGTGGGGAATGGACGATTCCTGAAGCGATGGGCGTGCCATGTGGCCACCTCTCCGAAGGAGAATGCCTCAGGCGGTCTTCTTGCCTGGACCCCCAAATCTGGTGTTATCGAAGCAGATTTGACCAGAACCATTCAGAGTGCAACTTTGGGACCATGAATCCACAATTTCTGCCAAGTTCATGCCGCTGGGGCTACGATGGCGATCCACTAGGCAAACAGCTGCACTTGACAGAAGACCCATCTTGAATCAAATGTATGCCCCCCCCAATGGCGCCTTGCACTTGCACGCGGGGGTGGGGGGAGCGGAAATCACGCAAGTCGAAAAACGCTTGCACGCTTTTTCGGCCCAGTACTGTGTGAATCAGAAGCGGGGGGTAGGGGGGTTCGGGGGCAAGTAAACTTGCTCGGAGGAGGAAGGAGGGGGAGGAAGAGGAGAAGGAGGAGGAGAAGGAGGAGAAGGAGAAGGAGGAGGA